TGATTATTTTTTGTCTGCTCCTCCAATAATCCATATTCGTTAGTGAAGTGATAGGAGTTACCATAATCATTAATTTCATAACTCTTTGCAAATCTGGTTGAAAAGTTTATTCATTTAAACCGTGGCAATTTTTGTATTTTCGAATATATGAATCTAAGAAGAAATGCAAGCAATACAATACTGAGTATTTAAAATATGGATTTGCGTACTCTCCTACAAACCAGTCATTACTTACATATTTAATTCGCCGAAATTTTTTTTTTTCAAATGAATCCATGAATTCTTCTGGCTACACAAGCATTTGAATGAAATGCGAGCTGATAAAAAAGACAAAGATTTATCTTATTTTCAAGGCCTGCGAAAGAAATATTTAAAACAGCCTATATCAAACATTTCTGCGCCGTCTTCTAAACAAGATGATGATGGACTACGAGCCTCACATAATATTTCTTTGTTAACCCCAAAAGCGTAAAAAACAGCACAGCTGGCCAGGAATTAATCTTGCCGCAGTGAAAGAGGTAATAAAAACTGTTCTTCATCATAAGGCACCTTCAGATATTATCAGAAAAATTTCTCAGAGTAATAATTCGATACAAAGAAGAATTGATGGAAAGGCTAAAGACATTGAAATGACATACGATTACTTGCAAATTTCGCATTCATCTCGATGAATCAATTGTAACAAGTAACGAAGCACTATTCTTATCATACGTTCGCTTTCTTAAAACATTTTTCAAGTTTAATTATTTGCCAAACGTTTGGGCACCGGCACAAAGAGAGAATCAATATTTAATAGCATTGACAAGCTTTTTTCAAAAGAAAGAAATTCCTGTTTTTAATATTTTGTTAGCTGGTACTGATGGTGCTCGAGCAATGACGGAGTGTCATAAAGTTTCATAGCGCATGTGAAATACCCAATGCAAAATATACTCGCTGTATATTTTGTTACTCATCGTTAACATTTCGCTGCAAAAAATCTGAATGAACGCCTGCAAACATTGCTTCATTACATTATTAAAGCAATTAGTAAGATTAGGAACAATTCATTGCATAAACATATTATTTGGACAAGTTTGTATGAAAAATGAAGATGACCTACGCTTGCTGCTACACTCAGAAATTAATCGACTATCAAAAGGTACTTACCTGAATCGTTTTATTCCATCTGTTTCACTCAGTACCGGACTTCCATGAAAAGAGAGAAGAAAAACTGCGCGAAAACCTGATTACATGCAAAAATGGCATTGCTTATTTGACAGCTCTGTTTAAAATATTTAATCAAGTCAATTTACGAAAGCAAGGTGTTGAGTTCAACTTAATTAGAACACACAGAGAGAGAAAAAAAAAAGATTTATAGCTGCTTTTCTGTTCCAACGAAATCTAAGTAGAGGTGAATACGGTCACTTTCCCACATTATCAGCAGGCTCTTCAAAATAGGAAGATATACTTACTTAACTGCCAACACTTGAACGTTCTTCATGTCCATTTTATGGATCTCTTGATTGGGTGGAGGACCATATGTATCTAAAATTTGGTGCCTCGAGACGCCGCCATTTTTCCACTGTGCGAGGAACAGACATTCATACATACAAATTCTTCATTATTTAATAATAGTAACTGGGATATATTTATTGTATAGATTATATTTCATGGTAGACGCACCGAAATGGAGAATTCCAGACCTAATCTATTTAATTCTCTTTTACTAGGATAGAATATTAGGTTTTGGAGATTTTTACAGCGAGTTCACTTACATTATATAAAGAACAAATAAGCATAGCCAATGAAAAGTCGTTGGATCATACGTTCATCTCGAAAGAATGTGGTAATGGAATTAAGTAGGGATTTTCAAGTATTAAAAAAATTATCGGCCATGTAACTGCGATATGAAAGAACAATTGTATTAAAAAAATCACATTTTATTTCCAATTTCCCAATAGGAAGGTCAAGGATTGCATAATGTTTTCTAAGCGCAATATTCCTGACGGGAGAAAGGAAACCAACTTTTTTTTTTTTAATAGTTGCGAAAAAGGGAGCCCAAACCTCATCCGGGAAGTTATTTCAAAAGATTATCATACCTCTCATAATTATGATATAGGAAATTGAAAAAACGTATTAAAATGTTTTTACATTATTTTCCCTAATAGAAACTTCTGAATAAGTGAAAGCATATAATTATTATTAAACTTAATTTTTAGTTTGACGACGTCTCGCAACGAATTAATTGTCGTCTGCAAAGGTTAAAAGCGTATTAAAATTTAAGAGACTTTCGGGTTTCATGAAGCCAACCATTCAATCATTTTTCTAAGTAAACTCAAACCAATAATGGTCATTTTATTTTATTTTATTCATTTATTTATTTTTGGTATCGCAGAGCATGCTGCATACGATAAACCTAAACACAACATGAAAGACTTTTAAGGAAAAATCATGCCGTAGTGCTGACATTCATGAAATAATTGTAAAGTAAGAATCTGTATTGATTATATTTGTTTAATTTTAAACACGCATGAAACGAAAATTAAATTGCTAATTGCTCCCAAGCATTCATTACATTTTTACATGTAATTTTTCTAGTTAATGAGGAAAAATTCCACACATTCATTTTTTAAATTTTCCAGTGTTTCGCCCGAGTATCTGAGATGTTCTAGCAGTTATTCGCTCTCAAATTCCTTCGCTCTTTCACTATTTTTGAATAATTGATGACATTAATGTCAATGTCGCCCACTTCTTAGCTATTCAGATGACTTTTTATATGATCGGCGTATACAACTTTCTCGGTACTTACGTATTATCCCTTCGACCCTGGAACTGTCACCAAGCAGTGCAATTTAGGGACAGTTAATGTATAAATGTGACGTAACAACACATTGATAACATCTTCATTTTTGTTTGATTAGCCTTGACTGATTATCGATAAACCATGTTTGCTTTCTATAGAACAGTAATCAGCGAATTATTTTCAAAAGTTATATGATTCTTACGATCAAAAAATATGTGTATTAATGAATACGAATGGTTAGCTTAAATATAGCCTAGAAAACAGTAATAGATTAGAGGATGGCAGCCAACTTTCTCGGTCGACAGGATAATACGTAAATATCACTTTCTCTTCATAGGTTTTACAGACAATGAGCATGTTTCCTTAGCAATTTTCCTCTTTTTTTTTAGGTAACAAAGTAGAGTATATAAAGAAATGTAGTTTCACTTTATTCATATTTCGCTTTTAATTTTACCTGTAATACAAAATTGCTATTTTGTTATAGACACAGCCTAATTTTAAAAAACATTGAAGCCAACTATACTGAAATGCCGTTAGGAGTCTTAATAAATAAATAAAATTAGTAGTGAAAAAACAACAAAAAATAACATATACTTAAATAAAATGTAAATGGATAAATAAAATATTAATGCATTGAATTAAGCTAGTAACAAATATGTAAAAAATTAAAATATCTTAAAAGTAAAATAAAATAAGAAAACAAATTAAAAGTGAGTGTATTAAGAAGAAATTTAAAAACATCATCAGAATCAAATGAAATAAATAAAACAAACTTTAGGAAGTAAATTAATAGTAGCAAGGTAAATCGTCGAGAATAAAAAAAAAACAGCAACTTGAATAAAAGAACAAATACCGCTATGGGCGGTACGTGTAACTTTAACAAGAATGTAAAAGCCAATAGCATTATTCGCTGACAGATAAAATTTCTTCTCTATTTTGTCTTATGCATTTCTGAACCTTTTAGACCAGATGGCTACAACTCATAAAAATCCTGCAGAGATCGCATTTTGACACACGGTTTTTCTTACTCAGCTGTTCAGGTTTTTCACGTATTTTGCTCATCACGGAGAAAACGGAACACGCATTCAGTTTCGAGCATCAGTTTTATTAACTGCTATATAAGATGCTGCAATATTAAGAGAATTTCTTGCTGATATCGCAATTTCTTTAGACAAGAAAATATCTAAGCTCATTTTATTTGGGGCTGTGGGGAACTCTGACGGAATTTAAGTCCTCATTTCGTAAGTTATCATAGAGAAATTTTGAAGTCTTGAGCAAATACTTCCTTAAACTTATATAAAGCTCTATAAAAATATAATAAAATTGTTTATTTGCAGTAATTTTTACTTATCTGCAATCGCAATTGTAATTGGAAACTTAATCGAAATGAAGAGCTTCTTCTAATACTTCTCAAGGTTTATTCCCTGTACGGCATTATAGCCACCAGAATGGCGTTATGAATAATCAATCATTCGCGAACTCGGTGTGGTTCTGGAAAAAAGTTTGATAACTCTACTAGTGACAGAGAGATTTTACCCTTGTCTATACCATAATGAAATCGAGATTTGATCTTGTATCCTACTTTCTTTTCCAATTCTATCCCAGGTTTTATAGAAAGGAATTTTATCGAGGGGAATGGGAGTCGCCACTTGAGATATCATCTGCATCTATCACCCAAGAGAAAGCCACAACACTTGTTGGTGACAAATTGCATCGTCCTCCATAACAATGGGCAGTGTCATATTGCGTGCGCTGTCACAGATCTCTTGCGAAGACGGTGGTGGGAGATACTCGAAAACCATATTGTCGGGATAGGAATTCTGTGACTCTTTGGCAAAACGAAAGAACCCCAAAGAGAGGAATACATTACAGAAATACGTACCGATGGTATAGGATGCTTTCCAAAAATTTGACCAAAGGGTATAGACATAGCAGACGACGGATTGAAAATACTCGAACCTATAGTAATAAAAGGTTTTCAAATTTATCAACATGTTACAACATTACTGATTGTCCAGCCTTTGTGAAATGTGAACAAGTGAAAAAAACAAATTTTCAGATTTGTTAATTACTTTAAAAAAGTTGTAGCTTTTAATAAGAAATTGATATTTCTTTAAACTAAAATTTAATATTATATTTTAAGCTTACACAAATGGCAGTTAATTAATTCTTACATTTCATGATTTTATTCTCAGTTATTTTTTTCTTTCTCTTTCAGATCCTCGAGTAGCAACATGGCCAATGATGGACAATCCCATGAAAGGAGTGACGTTGGTCATTATGTACTTGGGATTCGTGAAGGTTGTTGGGCCGGCCTGGATGAGAGACCAAAAACCCTATGACCTCCGTTACCTCATGGTTCTTTACAATTTCACTCTTGTTGCCATAAGCGCCTGGTTATTTGTTAATGTAAGTTAAGGTTCTGTACCAAAGAGAAAGTTTTGCAGTTATTAATTCACAAATAACTGCAACCTACTTAAAAATGAGGTTTATTCAATATATTAACTAACAAGACCTCGTACGAGTGAATTATTTTCTTATAGCATTATAATTTTCAGCAAAGTCGAAGCGTTGACTACTTTGATGCATCGCTACATGATGCCGATGCCTGTCAATCATTCTTTCCCATCATCGATGGTTCTAAAGTGTTTCTAAGTTTATCAGAACTTCTTTGGTTGTAATGTGACTGACAGTATGAAATCATGGTCAAATGCCGCATTCGTCCAATAATACGCATGACTTCTTACGGCGTTGCCGATGGGAGGTATTAGTCTAAGTTCCCTGTTGGATTGACTTAGTAGTGATAGTCATTCTGCTTGAATCACTGAAAAGCCACCTCGGTAACTAGTGATTCAAAATTGATAATCAAGTTCAGCAAGCACAGGGCACTTGGCATTACTAATTCCTTCTCTTCTGGCGTTGATGAGTCTTTGAGACAAATGTTTGCTTGGAAATTATGCAGGAAAGTAATCCGTATCTTGTTAAATTAGACTGTACATTTACGCAATAAGAAATCTTTTTACTTTACTCAATGAAATGTCTGCGTATTTACTGTTTATAGTAGTGATCGTAGTAAAATGGCTTACATTTGTGTTTAAAATTTGGGATGTATTATGGCCAAGAAGACATTCAGTGCGTATTAGGTGTATTGATTGAGATAACAATTATCTTAAGCCATAAGATTACGACTCCATGTCGCGGCCCGTTAAAATAACTTTAAATTTTAGAAGCCATAATTTCTGGACTATCTCATGTTCAGAAAAAAGGTTTTGATAAATTAGGTGCTACGAGTTACATTATTTTGCTTATGGTAAAAGGATGCTATATTTTATTTTCGTCTTTTGTGAATATCCATAGCAAATAGTTTTCTTATTATCTTATTTAAAAATATTAAATTAAATTTAATTTTTGCAAAGGTACGCCTAGGCATTATTGAACATTGAAATCAGTGCCAGGAAATTAGGGGTAGTTGTGTTCCAAACAATGTCATCAATCCCTATAAGGCAGTGATGGCGCCTATGGCACGCGTGTCACAGTCGGCACGCAGAGCCTCATCAGCCGGCACGTGATAAAATATTACTTCCCTAATTAATAATCACAATAAAATGATACTATAAAATTTAAATAAGTGTTTTAGTCTGTTCTTGAACGTTTCACTTACTTATGGGATAAAGCCACTGGCATAGGGCCTAAGCCTAAATATAAGATTTTCATATATCGCACAGAAATGATATACATATTTATTGACCCAATTCATGGCGTTTCATTTGTTTGAGACAATCATATTACTTGTTACATGGCAAAGAATACGTCAAGTTGCAGCAGCTAATGTTTGCTAAATGATTTCAAATTTATTGCAGAATACCGGTGAGGTTTAATACTTTAATTGTTAAATAGATTCCAGTTTTTAGACCTAAGCATTTTGACGTAACTTATGAATAATTTTAATTTAATATCTTAAACGGAATGGCACGCGGTCATTCCATTTTGGGCCCAAGGCCCCAAAAAGGTCCGCCAACACTGCTGTAAGGTAACGATGTTTTCTTTTACAAGAGCTAGATTAAGTACTGCAAAAGATCATATTTGAGATTGTGGAGACTATAGCCTACAATGCATTTTTCCTCTAATTATGAACATAAAAGTGCAAATAAAGAAGTGCATTTAAAATTACCAAATTTTGCCGTGTATTAGTGTTTAATTAATTTGTATTAGTTTTTAATTAATTAATTTCATGAATTTTAATTAACAAAAATCTTCAAAATTGGTGCATTTAAGAATTATATAAATTTCGTCTAATAAGAATAAAATGATAGTTATGTAATAGAAAGTTATTACTTATCTTGGTATAACAAGGTTTCCTAAATTAAATTTTTCATTTTGATGTAGTATGATTTATTATAAGTTGTTTAAATAATTTCATCGAATAAACTTTCTTTTAGTATTTCATGTATTTTAAAATTTCCTACATATATATTTATATCGCGTATTGCCAAAAAGTTTTGTTACTTAGTAATCTTTTGTTTCATTTAGTTTGGAATGTTGGGTTGGTTCACAAAATACAGCTGGAGGTGTGAACCAATAGATTATTCGTACAGCGTGGATGCAATTAAAGTAAGTGTTTATTGCTTGTTTATTTTTTTAATCTTTTCATTGATGCTGATGAATTTGAACTGACTAATGTAATATTAGATTTAAAATGTCAAACAGTTAAACTTGGAAGCAGTACTTTCTTAAATAAAAATGGAAATATTTGGGGAGCAAAATGGCTAAAACTAATATTCGTAGCTGTTATTCATTTCTCTTTCTGAGACTCAAAAATAGGTAATTTTTTTCATGAGATTAGAGTAAAATTTTTCAACACACAAGAAAAAAAATTTGCGTTGTAAAAACAAGCCAATCTGTATTGCAACATAAAACAGTAGTTTCAAGTTAGTTTACACATTTAAAAAATCTAATGTGGACACTACATGACTTCCTTGCACGGGTTATTAAATTATACACATTTTTTATGCACTTCATCTAAATTTATTTTCTCGAATTTCATCAGAGATCTATTCTTCATTCAGTCAATTCAGTTCTCATTTCGTGGCAAGGCAAAAATGCATAAAATCTCAAAACATTTTCATTAAAAATTGTAAAATACAGAACTTAAAACACCAAAAACAGTTAAAAAACAATTTTTGAAATTTAAACTAGGGTTTGTATTGCAAAACAAGCAATTATCTTAAGGGGTAGAACAATTAAAGTTTTCGGTGTTTAGCTAACTTAATTTAAGCTAACTTTTGGATTAACTTTGGATGACTGTGCAAAAAGACACTGAGGTTTGTGCAACATGTGACTTAATTCACTATAACGTTAAGAGTTTCAAATGTAAAAATAGACACCACGTTAAGCCTAGCATAACTTACACTTTTAAACTATTGATAATTCTACAGCTATTGCATGCAGATTAACTAAAGGCCTTAACCGTAAATTAAGAACGACATGATGTAATCACTTTTAAAGCAAAAAATGCTCAATTTACCACCAGATAAGAATAAAAAAAAGAGCTCACCAAGCAGGATAAGAGGATGGGGATATATATATATATATATATATACATACGCAGGATAAGAGGATATATATATACATACGCAGAATAAGAGGATGGGTATATATATATATATATATAAACGTTAGTGCTGCCAATTGTAACACAAAGGAATGGAGGTACACACCTATATATTTAACTGTCCCATATGCAAAATTTCAACATTCTACGGCTAATTGTTTTACAGTTATGCGAGATACATATACACATATGTACGTACAGCCAATCACGAAGAAATCCTTTTTGGAAAAAAATAGTCCTTAATTTATTCTGTCTGTATATACAGATGACGTTTCAAAAATCTTTGAAACGGATTTGAGAGCAATCAAAATGGATATTTTCTTTGAAATATGATACCCAAAAATTTTCGTGATTATTGTATTTCCTTTACTTCGTGCAAGGTAGTAAAAACATTAAAAATGAAAGCCGATACAATCAAGTCAATGTACATTACGTCCAGTTAAAAATTATTATTAGCTTTGCAGTTCTGCTTCCTACAATCAGTTCCGGTTGAGATAATGAATCAGAATACAGTGGAAGTTCTAAGTTCTCGTTAAATGACTGCAAATCAGAATGGAATTTATTCTTTAAAACACGAAAAATGAAATAATTAAAAAGTACCTTATTCAAATTGTCAGCTAAGTAAAAATAAAGCTTAAATAGCATTTAATTCATGAAAAAGTATCATTTTACCAAGAAACGAAGCCAAAATTGAAACTTCACCTATTCTTTAACATTATCCATTCAGTTCCTAGTGAATGTATCTCATTTCAAATTAACAGACCCAGAAATTCATTCAATTCTAGCTTTCCTTGATTTAATTAATTTCCATATGAGGGTAAATTTGCTTACGTTGCTTTAAGTTTATTGGAAATAATGTTATTTTTAGAGGTGAGACGTCCTATTATACTGACAAAGAATTATTTTCAAATAATAGTTGAAATATCTGATTCATATCTCTTCAAAAATATTAAACTACCGAATTTATCCAAATGAAGGCAGATGATTTGGAAGCAGAGAGCTTTGAAATGTGAGCCCGATGACATGCAAAGGCAGTAAGGATAGTGATAAAGATGACTATTAGCTGTAATGAGACTGAATCTAGGAAACGCCAAAATTAAATGACGAAATATGTGTCGACCGGATGCTGCCAAAGAATAAATTACTGTGCAGTGTTTGTATCAGCATAATAAGAACAGCAGGAAAAACAATAAATATTTTCTGCAGCAAATTTCTGGCATCGAATTAAGAAAATACTAAAATGCTTAAATTATTGCAAATTCCATAGACGAGTCGAGATTAGCTCCACCAATTTTTGTCTAAAATCATGGAAATGGGATACGTCCCAACTTTAAAATCCCTAAAGGGATTAATATCGCTTGGCTTTCCCCACGTCAGGGAAAAATAGCGGTACAGCAGCAGTGAAACGCTGTAATACAGCGTTTTTCAACCTTTTGACTAACACGTACCATCTAAACAAAAATTGAAAACATTTAGTACCACCACTACATTTTACAGCAATTATCTTTCAATTTATTAACAGAAATCAGTTATAATACCTTAAATCTTAAATTTAGAGCGAAATTTCGGTCTTTTTAAGAAAGATCAATTTCTTTATGCCTGGTCGTATTCTACTTAGTTATAGGTTATAAATAGGTTCTGCAATAAGGCAATAAAAATTTAATAGCTTTATTTGAGATGTCTTTAAATTCTTTTCTTCGGTTGTCAATCAAAAGTTAACAAGTAACAAGTGTGTTATCTCTGAAAGCTTCAGTTAGAGTTTCATCACAGAAAATTTCTATCAACTTGTAGAGATATTAGGTATGTTTTAAAGCAGGAAAGATAAAAAATGAACAAACGCCTTCGCCGGGAATCGAACCACGGACCTCTGGAATATCGGCCCAGCCTGCAGAACCACTACACCACGAAGGCACGCTAAGAAGGTCGGAGAAATACCTTACAAACTGTTCTTTTTCTTCACGAGAAATTTCAAGTACATTTGAACAAAACGGATTTCTAATCCAATTTTCTTTTCCATAATCCTCGGTAAAATACATATTGATATTATTTATCAATGAAAAATAATGATTTTTAATGTCGAATGCTAATTCTTCTGTTATTTTTAAATTATGTTTGGTTAGAAAACTTTCTAAAAGTGGTAAAAAGCTAAAAATATTATTATCCTATCCTTTGATTATTAGCTCAAGTTATTTTATATTTGCATTTATTTTATCTCTAATGGTAAATAAATTAACACTTTATTCTTGTAATCCTAAATTCAATTCATGTAATTTTTTTTTAATATCAGCTAAGTATGTTAAATACGCCAACCATAATTTACTAAATTAAGATTTTTGCAATTCAAATTTTGAATCATAGAGGAAAATTTAAATTTTTGATCAAAGTTAAAAAAGACAATTTAAAACTTTGCCTCTGGATAACTTACCTTACTTAACAAAAGCTCTTCGTGTTCACTGCCCATTTCTTGGCATAAAATCGTAAATATTCTTCAATTTAAAGCTCGGCTTTTAATAAAATTAACAATTTTCAAGCTTGATTCAAAACGATTTTCAGAGTTTCGAGGATTATTTTGGCTACTAAAGCTTCACAATGAATGGAGCAGTGAGTAAATTTAGGTTTCAAGTGTGATTTTCTTCTTTTGAGAAATCACACCGGAATAAGCCCAAGTTCCGTCACTGCATATGGCAATGCACTTATTATATGGAATACCATTCTCAAACATGTCAATTACTTTGAAAATTTTATTTGCAGTTGCTCTAACAGGAAAATGTTGTAAATACTCTTCGACAAATTGATTACCTTCTTCGAAACATATGCAAACTAATAATTGAACAAAGCTCGTTATATCAGTACTTTTATCCATTTGCAATGCGAAATACTCACTGTGTTTTATTTTTTGAATTAGTGTTTCTTTTGTTTAATTTATTATTTCATGAATTCTTCGACTTACTTCGATGTCTTTTAAGAAACGATGTTTTCATACTTTGATTAGATAATAGTTCATCGTAAACAGCACATTGAGTTTGAGGGTCCATTTCCTCCCCATTCCAAGTAAGCCCAAATAATAAATAACTTTCATTGTATCTTCTATAAACATTTTTCTTTTCTTTTCAATATTCTTAGTGCTAGTAGATTGCCCTGGATCCATCACCTGAGAATTTTCTTTTTTCCGCTTAGTCAATCCTAGCCATTTTTCCATTTTGAAAATCTAGGTTTATTATTTTTTCAAAATGTTTAAATGCACAATATATTAAGAGTTCTTCAAAAATAAACAACAATATTCTCAAATCGTGTAGAAAAATAAAGAATACAAAGCAACGAGAAGTCAAAATACCTGCTGTTAGAGACAACAAAAAAATGATTCTAATTGAAAATAGATCAATATGAGCTCAGAAATGGTGGCGACGTAAAGTATACACATGCTAATAAATCGATCAACTCTGAAAGAATTAATGATATAATATTATCTTTTTACAGGAACTTATTTTTATTTCAGTTAAATACAACATCCATTTCTAATACTCCTTTTAAAAACATCATTTATTACGAATTTTGTTATGTCTGTGGCTAAAAGAATATTTGTGAAAATGAAAACGGATTAACTTGATAAAGTCTATGAGCGGTTATAGACCTTGAACAAAGCTCAGATCGCATAAATATATAAGTTTTAGGTAAAAAAACTTAAACAGGATGTCGAGGTATTTAATTTGGGAATTTAATATTAAAAATGCGTTGTTTCTTTGCGTACCACCTATTTTTATCTTGCGTACCACCGGTTGAGAATCACTGCTGTAAGAGGACGCTGTTTCGTATTACTATAGCGTACATTATTTATTTCATGTTTTGGTGTGTATTTGGCTAACGTATATATGTTTGGGTCAACATGTAGGAAAAAATAAAGGAATAAAATCACCATCTGATGAATAATGATTCAACACCTCGCTAAGACGACAAGGTACAGAGTTAAATGAGGCAAACTTTTATAATGAGCTTTTTTAAAATTTTTATTTCATGTACCTGTATAAAAGAATTGGATAATATTGGAGAAAATAAAATCAGCATTAAAATGTAGTATAATATAATAATGTTGTATATGATAAAATAACTTCCAATCTGTTGTTACCATTATCAGTGCCCTTAAATTAACAAAGTAAAGGGAAATCGCCGTTAATGGTGAAATTTTATACGCTATTTGGAATTGTCTCATTTTGATAATGTTAATTTAAACAAAACTTTTTGAGATGTCTAAATGTTAAATTAAAATACAAGCATCATAATTAACTGACTTAAAAAATTTATAAGTTACAAAGGCTTTCCCTTTTTTAATTCTTGATATTATTTTTCAAATCATAGGTATTTAAAGTTTAATTTTTAAAATTTTCTAATGGGAAGAAAGATGCATGTATAAGAAACATGTTAATTTTTAAAAATGGAGATAGAAAATGAGTTTTTGAAGAACTATGCATTGTGTGAAAATGTATTAACTTTCAAAACAGATAATCCAAAAATATTTTAAATATAGATAAAGTACAGAAATTTCAATCTTTTTCGGAAAATAAAGTTTTTTGCATAATTTTATTAACATAAACTTCAGTTTTATTATAACCACAGATTTTTGTTTTCCTAAGCTCTGTAAAACAACAATAATTAAATAACAAATTTATATTTCTTCTCCAAAATGTCCAAAACTTTCTTAAATTATTGATTCATCGTCTTTCGAGTATATCTGCAGAAGAAAATACAAATGCCAATTGATATGTTGGTATGTATGAATATAAATAGATATAAAACTGAAGATACCACTAAAAATTATTTGAAAATTATTATTAACTGCATAGAAAAATCATAATGTAATATTATCTTTCTACATATGATATGAGCAGACATGATACTGAAATATATTGGACGATTTGCGTGATAATGTGAATCAGGACATTAATTGAAAAAAAAAATCGAGCGCCAGTACTTAAGAAATTGAGTTACGTATTGGGAAGAGGAATTCAGTTATAATAGTTTAACCGCTTTAAAATATACACATTTTATTAACTGATTAATCTTTTATTTTTTTCAATTTTGTGATCTCAGCTTTATTGATTTTCTTAGATTTATAACGTTTTTCATGCAAGTTTTCTTTATTTCTTTTTGTGATCAGTAATTTGGAGTGTTCAACGAATTTATTTAAAGCAACCTCTAAAGAAATGTAAAAATATTATTAGAACGTGTAATTTAGAAAATTATTAATGACTCTGCTTTGTTGTATTTCAGAAGTTTGATATTATTTTGAAAGTTGGTTTTATTTATAACAACTAAAGTGTCTTTTTCTTTTCAGATGGCAGAAATAGGCTGGTATTTTTACATAACAAAATTTATCGAATTTGCCGATACGGTAAAAAATTTTCTTTTTTCTTCAATGTAATCTGTACTTGTTTTAAAATGAAATTATTTTACAGAATACGGCATAAATATAAAAACAATGTTTCCTATAAATTTTACACATATTATTCATATTTAAGAAAAAATCTTACTCATACCAGTCACTAAGAGATCGTTAAATTCGTTTCAACACTCGAAATGTCGCGTTAAAATATCACTTCTAATGCGCTAATTTTGGTCGATTGTAATTCAAATGTTAAAGTAAATAGTATAATATAATATTATCTTAATTATTTTTTTAATTTAAATTAATTCAGTTTAAGCCACAGTCTGCTGCGATATAGGTCAATTTTCATAATCAGGAGCCATAACAAATAAATAAATAAGTAAATACTATATAATAAAAGTTACCATTTTTAATAATTTTTCCTCCATCAATCTCGCCGTTTGATTATAAATAACAGGCTTTATTTTATTACTTTGAAAGAAAGAAAAGCAGTTATTCATGAACTTGTTTTTTGTTTCTATTCGTTTTTGTTTTAGCTATAATAACTTTAATATTTTTATTAAACGAATTATGAAAGATAAATTATGAAACAATACGAAAACATAAATTCGAAAGACATCACGATTTGGTATGGTTCACTAATGCAACATACACTCATGGGCAAACTTCAGAGAATTTGCATATTACGTCCAATTTCTAAAAAGTTAATGGACAGAATTGAACAAAATTTGGTATGAATACACATTTATAACACAGAAAAAGAAATACCATTTAAAAATTATTTTACATACGCATTATGATCAGTGACGTCCACAGTGCAGAGATGTCCACAATCCAGGTTGTGATATCAAACAGAAAATGAGTCTAATATGGAGTATGGTTCCCTCTCACAGTCAGACCGTTCGCGCAGCGTGACGGTATACTGAAAAGGAGGAAATTGATGAGCCCTTTCGGCATTCGATCCCACTCCTACAGCAAGACAGTTTTCATCTCCAGCATGATAATCGGAGGAGGGTGTCGAAATAAAATAATCTCCTAAGAGCGTCCCAGACATCCAGTATAGATTAAGGTCTGGAGATCTGGCTGACTAACCCATGCGGCAAATATTCTTACTTTTATGGACTATTATTATGGACGAGGGTTGTCGTTCATTAACAGGAACCCAGTACTAACTGCGCCCCTGAAAATTCGAACATAGGGCTCTAAAATCCCTTCTCTGTACCTCACAGCAGTCAGGGAAAATGTGTCAAACACATGCAGGAGTGTGCGGCCGTCCAACGTAATGCCTGCTCAAACCATTACACCTCCACCATCGTAATGACCCTTTACCTGACGAGAAAGGAAGGGTATCGTTTCCCGGGCTCTCTCCAGATGCAGGTACGACGAGAGTCAGTGTTCAGGCTGAATCTCGACTCATCTGCAAAACGCACGGCGCTGCACTGAAGTCTTCCTCGAGGCGCATGTTGTCTGCACAATGCTAAACGCACTTTCTTGTGAGCTGCTGTGAGCGAGACGCAAACAGTAGATCTTCTGGCATACAGCTCTATCTTACGAAGTCTTCGGGGAGCTGTAGACAGGGGAACTTGGGTTTCAGTTGCAGCACACAGCTTACATCAAAATTGTAAAGCTGTAGAAGTCATGGATCGCCGAGCTGAAAGTGCCAAATAATGATCCTCATTCGTTGTTGCGGATCTTGGTCGCTTTTATCCAGATTTTTTAGATATGGATCCAGTGCCATGAAACTGTTTCCACAAACTGCAGATAACACTGGGCGTTACACTGAGCTCTGAACAACGTGTACTTGTGTTTGGTCTACCTCCAAGCTACCGACAATTCTTCGTCTCGTTATGTCATCCGTACGTTTGTGGCTACTCATTTTACCTAATACTTTATAAAATTTACTTAACTCGTGCGAGAAACATGGCGAATGTCGTGAAGGAATACAGAGCGCACAAATCGCCAAAAAGTCCTTATTAACTTATATTCCTTCCGCAACCATAGCTCCGCAGATACGCACGTATACGCTTACATATGCGACTCTGAATATTTGCATAATCCTTCGGCGGCGTAATTAACACCTTTGGTTCAATACTTTGGGTTAAAAAACACATAATTTGCAAAATATCTCAATTTTTCAGACGAGTGTATTTTCCTCTGCACAATACGAACTATTACTGGGTATTAAGGCTCATACGATGTATTCCGGACTTAAGCAACAGCAGCACAGGCGAAGATTATGTTGTATATTTGTATAGTAAAGATTTATACAGTGGTGCATGCATACATTTAGCTGGATTAAATTTCTTATGTTTTCATTCTGAAGCACACCAATGAATGAGGGGATAAGATCCCTGAACACTGGTAGTTCGAACCAGTTTAAAATCATTATTAAGGGTTGGGTGTATGGAAGTTATTTTTATACTATGTTAATGTAAATTTCGACCAGTTTCCTTTAGAATGTCTTCTATAACGATATCCTTTCCTGAGGCAATTAGTCTTACTGTGCTTTATCTTAATCAAAATTGTAAACTGATAAATTAAAAAATAATTTTGGAAAAGCAAATTAAAAATTTGTAAAAAAAAAGGATAACGAGTTGTGCGAGAATTATATTTGGGTTAATGCAATGTTTTTCAAACTTTTTACTGTGAACTACATCTTTTTCAAAATGAACGTACTGCTTCGTAAAATAGTGCATACCATGTCCATAGTTAACAATATTTTAACCTGTTCAGTAAATAATGGCAAACATAATATTTCAGCAATTATTATAAGTGATATTTACAATAATGTATATCCTTCCTCTGTTCTTCAACATCTTGTTTTTTTATGCATTTCTTTATCTTTTTGCAAAGGATTTTTAAATCCTCCATTTTTTTTTAAATTTTGAATTAGCAGCTTCGTATTCCATAAACTGTATAACTACTAATGGATTTTCTGAAAAAAAAGTCATTTTTGATAGATTACTAAAACAATTTTCTTAGAGCAACTCAATTATAAAAGGATATTAAAGCCTCCATTTCTGCAAATCAGTATGAATATTTAAAAAATTTTCATGCGCTTTAATATTTTGCTTATTTTAAAAATATAACTTGAAACTTTTGAAAAAAGAAAAATTTAAAAATTTAATACAAGTATTATTAAAATGATATAGCACAAAACATAAACTTTTTTTTATAATTCAAAACAAAAAAAAATTCGCGAACCTATTTTTAATATCATTGGTTAAGAATGATCACTTCAGAAAGAGCAAAAAAATAAGTTCCATGAATATCATATTCAAAATTCAAAATTATATATATATTTAAGTGAACCATCACTTTTAAATATAATTCTTTCAAAATTATAATAAATACTCTAGATTAAGAATAAAAAAATGTTCACGCCAGCAGTGCAGTTTAAATAAACTATTACTTGCTTTAAAATAAGGTTAAAAATTATTATTTTCTTGAAATCAAATAAAGTGTCAATCATTGTTATCAAGTATAATCTGCCTGAAAATAGAAGGGGTTGCTTTTAAAATTAATCTTTCATTCAGCGAGTTAAGAAGTTTAATGTTTTTATAAAGGATCAATAGTAAGAAAATGTTGAGCTTTTGTGATTATGAGTCAAAATATAGAAATATACCGATTATAGAATTAAAGCAAATAAAATAAAACCTTAACTGAATTACAGATAAGCAAGTTCAAATTCGAGTATACAAACTAAAGCAAATATTCCATTAAATCTCACATAAAAACTTCGAATATCCGCTTCAAAACATTCTCATTTACTCTTTTCTAAAGTTTAGTGGCAATAATAAACTATAATAATAATAAAAAATATAACATCCTCTTGCCTGTGCATGAATACGTTACTGTGTATGAACACGAAAGATTAATAACATTTATATTTATAAAAAATCTGAAATCAAATTCATAATAATCAAAAGGAGTAGTTTTGTAAAATTACAAAATCTAAATTTTCAGGCTTTAAGTTCATATTTTATATACTTCTTGAATAATTTCAAAACTTCTTGTTCCAGGTGTTTTTCATTCTAAGGAAGAAGGATTCCCAAATCTCTTCTCTACACGTGTTCCATCATAGTCTCGTGCCTATAACGTTATGGTTTGGCATCAAGTATGGCGCAGGTAACTTCCGATTTCTGAAAGTTTCATAATATGCAGCACAATATTAAATACAAATTAAATGCAGCAAAAGTATAATCAACTGTTCTTTGAGTCTGAGAATGTAATAATACACTGAATGACTAATATTAAAGATTCTTTTCTTGCAACCTCTAGGTCCAACTTAAATGAATTGAAACTTGCATACACGAAGACACGCATTTCATCAAAAATGGGAGGGTATGCCCTGAGAAGTTGTAAGTTGCGTCTGTAGTAACATTCTCCGACTCTAGCCTAGATATGGGACTCGATTTCATTTAGCACTATCTCAGAAAGATTCAGTAGATCTTTTAGCGGAGATTCAAGCAGGTCTGAAATTGAGACGAATGTTTCTCAAGCAATGCCTTGATTAGTTTGCTCCATTATAGAGACGCATAATCATTTGTGATAAGTATTTTGTTCAGTCTACATGCACGTCATTTAAGAAAGAAGGTTTCTTCCCCCCCCCCGAAAATCTGGCATCACGCAGAGTAGACATCTCTAAGCATTTTAAAGGGTCTTATTTGTCCACACAGAAGCGCCTGCATCCTCGCGGGATCACAGTTGTTTTGGATACAACCAACTTGGAAGAGATAAATGGCTTTTGATAACATCTACACAAATGGATAAATAGCATCTGCTTTTAATGACATCTGCATTTGTAGTGTTCCATTATCTTGATTTAGCTGGAAATGAAATTCATTTGATCAAGCCATTCGCACCATCCTGCATCAGCATGAACAATCCTTTCCAACCCCGAATGAGAGTAGCCACCGATGTTCCGTCATTGGTTATGACCACACATAGATAGATTATCACTATTGCTGCCTTTGATCACTGCTACCACTTCAAAGGCAGAATCATATGTCAGTCCCAATTCGATGGTACATTTCTGATCAGTTTCTCACATTTATCCACTTTCTACTGACGTCTCACATTTTACCATGAATAATCCAAGTGTTCAAGTGTGAAATACGAATTAATGATTTTTAATGATAGGAAATGTGTACAATTCTACGGCAGTTCGAAGCCACAGCTTCTCAGAACACAATTAGCTCAGACCAATGTGATTAGCGAATAATGATTTTAAATTTTTTTCCTCTTCCTTCCTGATATCTTTCTATCTTGCTTTTCCATAATTTATATATATTTTTTGCTGCTTTTCAATATTTTAATAACATTAAAAATAACTAATTTGCTCATACTCTCTCAAATTTTGACAAAATGTCACAAAAACTCATTATTTTTACCCCTTAACATTTTTAGTCATATCATATAACTGAGATAATAGCTTACTGAACGACTTGAACGTCATTTCAGTCAAATATCGTGATAAGTACGTTATCGCTGAGGATTTAATTACTCTTATCTTGATGACAGTTTATTCATCTAATTAGGCAGGCATCTGAAGTTTCAATAATTTTAAAAAGGTAAATCATCTTATATGTTAACAATTAAAAATGCTTATAAGTAAGTTATCTACTGAAAAGAATTTTAAATTGTTGCTGGTCAAAACATTACCCTTAGCAGAATGATTCTTCTGTTCACAGGTGTCTTTATCAATAACTGGTAACTATAAATGTATGAGGCGATTTCAGACTTTCAGCGAGGCTAAGTGAAGACAGAGAGGATAGTTTATTATCATTGAACAGGTAGCTAAGGTGTTGAGGATTTACACATGATTGTAGCTAGAATGATCGAGATTGATAAATATCGGAAAGATCGCTATTAATCAATGTTCATATGTTTAGAAACTTCTCTTGTGGCCAATACCTTCTTATGTTGTAGAATATGTTTATTGAAAGAAAGCCGGTGTGCAAACTTTGACTGCCCACAGCAGTCTCATTCCAAATACTTATCAGTAAAAGATATATTATTTGCCACAACTTTGACAGCCAAAGAGCTCTTTTGCTATTATGAAAGTGATCAAAATTTATTATTTCAAATTTCCTCTCGTCAGTAAAGTATTTTAATACCACTTGCAAAATAACTTTGTAACGCACATCTTAATGGCTTATGTGTAATAAACGACAAGACAGTTGCCTCGAAAACTCCTGTGGTGCCAAAAAACATTAGCTACCTTCCAAGAATTTTAAAGTAATTTTACTCATTTGCTGTCATCAAATTCAATAAGTACTTTAAGTCATTTTTTTTTAATTTACATCAACTGTTTTAAAGGAAACTTCCCTTTTCAATTTTTCATTCATTAAAATATTCCTTTTCATAACATTTTACACATTTTTATAAAAATTTAGAAATACTACACGAATGTGTATAGTGGTACATGTGTTATAAATATGTAAATAATGCGATGGAAACCCACACTCAGTTCAAGGATTTGGTAAAGGCATGCATACAAACTTAAAAGTGATATAAAATATACAAAATTAAAAAGTAAAGAAAGAAATTAAAAGAAATCAAGAAATGATTAAAAAATAAAAGTATTTTTAGATGCGTTTTAATAAACATGCAATGCAAAGAATACAACTAACGCAAAAACGCCTTTAGATAATTTTCGTTAAGCAAATTGTATGCAGGTTTTTTAATTATAATTATATTTTTCAAAGGTTCTTCATTCAGAAAAGCCTCACAAAAATGTTTAATGTGGTAGACATCTTCCTTGAATGCTGTCTAAAGATAAATTAAGTTGCATGGGATGTAGAATCTAACATTCTCTAGGGTTATTTGATACGTGACACCAGATAATGTGTTTCAAAACTCTCAGTGATGTCTCGACAGATCTGTGCATATCTGTGATTAGATAGTTCTATAAGCAAAAGTCACAAGTTGGAGATCAATTTGATAATTAACGTTGAAAAAGTAACAGGTTATCATTCCGTTCTCTCTAAGTATTGAGACTAAGAGTTGTTTTTATCCAGCATAAATTTTTACTACTCCATATGACAGACGTTCAAAGATAAACAGGAAATTATCGCTTACACTGTATTGAATACAATGAAACAACTTTAAAGTATCATTCAGTGTAGCCATCTGCTTCTGCAATGCTCTCGTTCTAGTTCATAAAGAAGAAGAAAAAAAGTCTTTTGACTGCATGTTGGCCTATCCTTACACAGTATCAATAATTTCCTCATTAAATGTTTAATTTCATTGCCACTGCTCTTGCTTTTTCAGTTTAATTTTTCGAACCAGTGCAGCGATATTTCGTCACAGGTTGCTACAGAGTCTGAAAACTCGTCTCTATCCTTTTCATAATGCTGGAGAAGTTGTGTGATTTTAACTAATCTGTCTTCTTTGTCTTCACACATCAAAAGATAGGAAACCTACCTGCCGCTCACTTTGCAAAATGTAGAGCGATCTTGAACTAATGTTTCCATCCTAGCAACCCTTATTTTACATTCTTTAAAAATTTCTCTGACTGCGATTTTCTGATTGATCTAAATTAATGCATAGTAGCAGTTAGCTCGTCTTCACTGTTTGAGATTATCATCCTACGATCATGTGATCCATTTTTAACTATTATCTGGCTTTCCTTAAGAAACTTTCAAGAGATGCACTATAGATTTAGAGAGACGCTTATATTCAAATTGATTATAAGTCTTAAATAAATATGAGACGGAATGACCCCTTCTTTCATCAAAAATCTAATAATGATTCGCTGCACACACAAACTCTTTCTCAGACAAGTTGATTACAACAGGACAGAGTTGGGTTAATCAGTAAACAAGATAAGTCTAGGGCAGTAAGGAACGGAGGCACTATAAAAATTCTTTTGCCAGATATACCATGAAATATATGGTGCAGCTAAATCAAGAATAAGAGAGAAGGAATAGGGGAAAATACGTTATACTATAAATGTATGTGGAGGCCAAGTACTCAAAGCTTCTAAGTGTCTAAGCTTTCAAGTGCTTCAAGCGTCTAAAATCTTAATCCGATCCTGCAACAGGGGTTATGGAAAGATAAATCACTGTTATTGCAAGTTTAAACAAACATTGTTTGCCCATTGAGTCACAACTCAAAGCGAAACCGTATATTCACAATTCAAAGTACAGCTCTATCTATTAGCATAAAATTGTAACTAAAATTTATATAATAACCACTGTGGTGATTGCCTTGCTAAACATTGTTAATTCTCTGTTAAACAAATTTTTTTAAGAAATTTTCAATTTTTAGATCAGCATATTTTCAAAAGAGTTTACTATGCAAAATGAGTAAACTTTAAAATATTTAATAGGCTACTACCTTAAAAATTATTTCCTTTGGAGGTTTGAATTTAGAAAGGTGTTGTAAGCAGTCACGCAATCATTTTATGGTTTGTTATAAAATTAAGTTCCGCGGTGGCGAAAATTGCTTTGAAGCCTCGGAATCGTCTCTGTTCCAATTAAAATTTAAGTGAATGCGTCTTCGATGATGGCATCTGAAGCAAACTATAAAATTTGATATTTATATGTTATGCAATTAGTAGCACTTTCAATTCAGAAGGCAGCGCTATACGGTGCAGCATAAAATGGCATACTATTTAATCATCTCATAGAAATTTTTAAATTATATTATATTGAATGTTAAAGCATATATTTAGGGGCTTTTGTTCATACTAAAACCGGTAGGAATCAGAAGTAGTCAGTATCGGACTCTAATTTGCTACGAAATAGCAGTTTGCAAGGTACTGAATGACAGCCCGTTGGGTGTTGAACAAAAGGTGAAACTGTAACGGTTTTTGAGAAAACGGAAGATTTGGTGGCGATTAAAATTTATTTTCGTGCACACTTTGGTTAGATGGCCTCTTTACAAACAGACCATTCACAGATTGTGTCAGCAATTGAATGACCCTAGCTCTGTGTTGAAGAAGAATCGGAACACCTATCAAGTATTTGAATTCTGGAAACTTCTTTTTGTGAAGTCGTACTTGAGCCTGCAAACATAAGCTTTTCTCGTGCAATTCAACAAACTCAAGGCTTTTCTCGTGCAGTTGTGCTTTGCAATCTCGTCAGCCGGAGGGTCATGGCAAATACAAAGATTTGCTTATCAGAAGTTGGGAAATAAAATGGTGGACACATTGGGCATATTCTGCAATAAACTAACTTTCTATGCTCAGATAATTAACTGTGCATTCATTTTGTAATACTTTAGTGATAAATAAATGTGAAATAAACAAAACAAAGTGAGCATTTCGTGAGCCAGCCTATACATACACAGAAAATAGCTGGCTTTACATATGTTGGAAAGGAAACTGTCAAATCAGAAATGTGAGGTCAATTGTTGTGTGGTATCATGGATATTTCCAAATTCTGGTATCATATCCACCTACATTTATTTGAACTAGGAAAATTCCAAACACTTGTTGAAGCTGTTGTGTACCTAAGAGAGGACCTAATTTGAAGTATTCTTTTGCAGGTGGTTACAATTCTATATTTGCTTTCCTGAACTCTTTTGTGCACATTTGGATGTATTTGTATTATGGTTTGTCTGCATTAGGCCCAGCTTTTCAAAAATATTTGTGGTGGAAGAAATATTTAACAATGCTTCAAATGGTAAGCATAAATAATAACTACTTTATATTTTACATTATTTTATATGATTCCAACAAATTTTTGCATTAACTGATATAATTTACTTAAAAATGTCTGTAATGAGTGTTAGATATAAATGCGAACGAATTTTTTTTTTAATTGCAATGTAATTAACTAATTTTCTTAGTAGTTCCAGCGCCTTAAGGAAGAAAACCGTACTGAGTAAACTGACTTTGAATACAGAATAATGTCCTCCAATAATTACTCTTTAAAAATAATATTTTTACCAAAGTCAGAAACAGTTACGTAATAACAATGATTATAAAAAAAGACGCATCAGGATACAGATGCTATTATTCATTTTACGAAGTAGTCTTTCTTTCAACCCGTGCTGCTCCCAACGGTACATTGGCTAATGAAGCCTGACCGGATAGCTAGTTATTAGATTCCGTTTCAAATCGGATAAGGCATAGATGATCGGTTTGGCTGCATCCGTAAGACATCATCGAGAGAGCATCATTTTAAAAGATCCAGTGTTTGTAAGTGCTCAGCATGGGCAGGTAACACGAAGTCCAGTCATTATGATTTAACGAGCCCACCAGCGGCCGAGCGGTAAAGACGCTGAACACTGGTAGTTCAATCTGAGGTTCGAATCCCGCGAACGGGCTGGCTGCATGGGCGTTTTCGTGGTTTTCCCCATGTGTAACGTGTATACGAGCCAGTTTCCCTTAGAAAGTCCTCCACGAAAGGCATCCCTCCCTTTAGGCAGATAGCCCTCATGTGCTTTGCCATAACTGAATAATCCAATCCATTATGATTTAACGAAAATGTCCCATATTTCAAATTAGTGTGTTATGACAAACGATCCAGCCCCTCCAAAAGTAAATTACCTTTATTCCATAAGATAGACTAATATGTAAAGAAAATAAGTAATTATACATAATCTCTTATTCGTTGCTTCATGATTTTATGCACCACGCACTGTTAATCGTAATTGTAAATCTAATTTCTGTACATTCTTTAGCTTCTTGTAATTAGTTATTCATATCTAAATAATCTAACTACATACGTACCGATCATATATATATATATATATATATATATATATATATATACATACATATCTACTGTCTGTATTTCTATTATTCATATTCTGCCCAATAGTACAGAAATGAATTACATCTTTCTGGTTGTTAACCACCGTTATTTGCCTAACGTCCGGACAAATGCTGGCAGAGTTCTGTTTTGACTGTAACTGTATTGAATGCCTTTACGACATAGAACTGTTTAAAAATCTGTAGAGCCGAAGGTCCCTCTCGAGGGCTAATGGAAGGGGGATATGAGACTCACACATTTCATCTATCGATTGGCCTGTGCGAAAATTGTGATGGAGATTAAGCATATAAGCTTGACTGTAACATGGCATATAATCTTGAGTAATAAGTTTGAGGAATATATGCCTAAATGTTAGGAGTATAAGACTTAAATAAATAATTCGATCCAAGTGTTCAAACACAAATTAAAATTAAAAATGATTAGGATTGGATTAATCTGATGAAATGTATTAACATTAAAACCATTTCTCATTTCGTCCTCAAAGGAAATAAATAAATAAAAACCTTTCAAATTACACAAATTTAATGAAATACACTAAAAAGTTTTAAAAAAACTTTAGCTATTATAGTATTTTTTATCATATGTGATTAAAAGTATAATCGTGGATTAACAATGGAGGATTTTTAAATGCAAACTGTCAAAGAAATTTAGGAAAATTCATCGCGTATTCTTATATGTCATTTTTAAAACTACCTCTTATAAAATTACTTTGAAATTCTGACGATATCCTACTAAAATTTCTATAGGGACCCCACGATTTTATTTTTAGTTATATATAATCTCATATTTGATTAAAATAATGGCAGGTTTTAGCTCTATTCTGAGAAACTATTTTAGTCACATATTATAGAATGTTATTAATTTTTTTATTTATTTTTTGTGTATTATACTGAAACCATGCAATTTTAAAAGGTTTTTTTTTATTTACACGAGTGTATATTATATATATATATATATATATATATATATATATAATTTTTAATCTGTGCAATGCAGTAAAGCAAAGAAGAAAGAAAATCATTTCCTCTAAACATAGGAAAACTTTTCTTTCTAGTTTGTTAAAATAAGACGTTTAAATTTTTGTTCGATTTTAGAAATCCATCTCATAATTGCTTAAAACCACAAGGCCGTTCACAATGAATATTAAATAATAAAAGATTTTTTTTTATTCTTAGCAACTGCACGATATTAAAAAATGGACTATTCTTGAAAAACTGCCAAAATTCGTCAAATTTTCACAGGTATTTCGAAAAACGTTCATTTGGAACATGATTTTTTTACTATATCTGATACCGTGAATATTAGAATTCTAAGGTGATTACTTTATCTTTAAAACAAAGGTTGAGAAAAAAATTCAAAATTAAATTACCGTATATTCCGGCGTATAATTGTAAATTACCGTATAACGAGTACTTTTAAAACAAAAAATAAGATCGAAATTTGCGGTTGCTTTATACGTCGGATATAAAAATGATAGATTAAAAATAAAGAAAAAAATCAGCATACAAAAATCAGATTTTTGTACCAGATTTCAGATGTACCTAAATGCTGTTTATTTAAAAGAAATGATATACCTTATGAACTTACAAATTTTCATTATAGGGTAAAAGTTCTTCCTATTCGTCTTCTGTTATATCTTCAGGCACATCATCGAATTCTCTTTCATCTTTGCCATCGTTGTTACTCTGATCTAGAAATCAATAATCATCATCAGTTCTATCTTTCATGAACTTCATTCATCCTTACTGCAACGCGATTTCCCTTTTCTTTCGCAAACTAAATGACTTTGCAATTGAAACAAGCACTGTGTTTTTTCCTTTGGCAGGAGCCATACCTACAAGTGAAAGGAACACTAGATCATATTTTAACTGAAGCAAATGCGATTTAATAAAACCTTCGATGTTTGCTTCAAAATCACGTCTTCAAATGACTACAGAAAGATACAACTTTTGACTTCTAATTCTGAGAATACATTCTAGTCGGAAGAGCATTACCTCAAATTCTGCCCCCCTTTAGTCAAAACCCTAGAATAACATTCTTGTTCATATCTGCATTGAATACAACCTACCCTCTTTGCAGAATTATTTATTCCGTCAAGCATCTACCCTATACGTACTATTCCCCCTATCGCTTCAGTATACCATTGTTCGAACGCGTGCGAAAATTCTTCGAATGAATGATTTCAAGAGATAAGAGCATGGCACATATAAATAATTTTAAGTTACTGTATCTTTCGGGTATTTTTGCAAAGAAAAGCATGCGCGTTATACAGCGAATTTACCTGAAAATGAATAAATATAGTCTGAAATTATAGGTGCGCGTTATATACCGGTGCGCATTATACGCTGGAATATACGATATATATATATATATTAAGTCTTGTCGAATATTGTAGTATCATCACAAATGGGTGTGTGCAAAATTTTTGAAGAAAATTCTATCGAATTTCAAGGTTTAATCTGGAAAAATAAACATGGAAATTAAGTTAAACAAAGCCTTAAAGTAAATTCGTTAACTTCTAATATAAAATATGCAATAAGAGAGGAAGACAGATCAGAATTGCAAACGCTATTTCAATTCAAATAATCAATTATCGATTCTGTATTTATACCTGTGCTGCCATCTAGTGATTTAGGAGGTAAAGTAAAAGCACTGCGCTACTGCATTAGTGGGATCGTTTACATCAGCATTTCTCAGCACCTCAAAGGTATATGACAATAGTCTCGAGGTGTACGCGGGAAAAAAGATATAATGTTAAACACTGATAGACAGATTGAACAATAGAAAGAGATAAAAAGATGTTGTCACTTCAGTTGCAATTTAAAAAGAAATTCCTCCTCTCATTCTGTACTGCGACTGACTTGAAAAAGAATAATCTATTATTCAACAAGGCAGTTACTATTCTGCTACCATTTAGCGTATTAGTGAAGAGTGCTTCTTGTCCTACAGTTATTTAAAAGCTAAGTACAGGAACAGATTTTCCAACGTAAATTCGGATTTGAAACAACGTAAATTCGGATTCTCATTTTCCGATCCGGATTTTAAGTTACTGAATGCTGTCTAATAGCCTCAAGGTTCCCATGCTCATACTTTTTGGAATTTAATTAAATGTGCGCAATTACTAACGTATATCTCTTTGTATAACTCGGCTCAGTGATCTCAGTTTCTTTACTCTTATATGTTTGTAAGTTGAGGATTTTTTGCTTTAGAAATGATTGAATTATGTTGTTCTTATCTTCCGGTTGAGGTTTTTATGCCTTTAGTAAATCTGCATGCAAAATTTGTGGAGTTATCAACAATTTAAAAGTTAAGTGCTGCTAAGACTAATTTTTTTTTTTTTTTTTTTTTTTTTTTTTGCGAAAGCGGACATGTTTGTTTACCTTTCAAACTTGGCAAAATAGCGGATTTATTGCCAATCTAGAGAAACTAAGCTTCGCAACAACAAAGATAACGCTTTCTTTTATTATTGTGAATTAAATCATGATTAATCCATTCTAGAATTTATTCGAGGCAATAAGTGTTTAAGATTTCCTTCGTAATTTTGAATATAGATATTTTGAGTTTTTATGTATTTTTGCCTTGTCGGGAAGTGAGAACTGAATTAATTGAATGAGGAATACTGAATCGTCCGTAAAAACTTTTTTTTTTTTTTTTTTTTTTTTTTTTTTTTTGCTTAATTTCTTTTATACATCGTTTTAGATTTATTATAGTATTTGAATAGAACATGTGGCAACGATTAGATAATTCTTCAAATGATATAAATTTATATATATTCTGATTTATAATATGAACGAAATGTACGCTATTAAGTGAAGCTAGTGCCAGAATGTCGCTGTGGTAAATAAATATACTGAATTTTAAAGAGTGCATTTATTCTATTGTGGTTTATGCGCTGTCGACGAAGTAGATTTAATTCAATCCAATACGTTTAAATGAAATGAAAAAAAAAAAAAAAAATGCATATAATTTAATATTCCGTGCAAGGAAGTCATGTGGTGTACACATCAGATTTTTTTACATCTGGAATAGAAAATAAATGAAATATTTTTCAACATGTTCACAAAATTACATAAAAAAAATTAACACTTGCGCGTGAAAAGTAATCGCAGGAATCTTTTTAGGTATTCTATTCCTAACGTCGGATATTGCGCAGTTGTAGGCAACGCAATATCCGACGCTCCAAAAATTAAGTTCTGAGTTGAGCCTTCTCTCCTTCTATTCTAACCTAATTGTAGCAGAGTTACCAGAAAGTTTTATGCAGCAGGAAAATAAAAACAAGATTTTAATGCAAGAATGGCGCATGGCCACTATTCCTGATTCAGTACAGAATCAGTAAATCGTGAATTATCAGACAGTATTTTCCGACGGAATTTGCCCGGATCCCATGGGAATATCTTAAATCTCTTGCGTATAACTGGTGGCATTACAAACCCGAGTTCTTTGACAGAGAACATAAATTGGGCTGTTGCAAACATGCAAACGGATAGTTTACACGAAGCAGTAGAGAACATCGTATACCGTATGCAAAATCTTGTAGATAGGGAAGGTCAGCACCTCGGCGATTAATAAAAGATTATTTTCCGTAAATTTTGTTCTGTATGGCATTTTATTTCTGTATGTGCAATTTTTATTACTGAAACATTAATGAAATTTTGCTTAATCAATTTTCCGCGCATTCATAATAATTATTGTCTTGCGTTAGGTTCCGACAGCGCAAAAATCTCCCCTAATGACCAACTTCTGAAACAACTATTTTTCTCCCACTCCCGAAATTTATCTCCGTATGAACGATTAGCCGTAGAACATTGAAATTTTGTATATGGGTCTGCTATAACATCTAGTTGTGCAGCTCGCTTTTTTATTACCATCGGCAGTAATTTTAGAAGTGTATAGTATATATATATATATATATAAATTGTAGTAAGCTCGCCTAAAAGTTACCAAGAGCTGCTGTTCCAAAAGGTTTAACACAATTATTAATAACAATTTTTATATTTACTTATTTTGCAGCATATTGCGCAAGATGTTTTCTAGACCAAAATTGGTTTTTAAAAATTGTTATTACTGCTTTGCTTGATAAATTATATATATATATATATATATATATACCGCTCCGCCTTACCCGACTTAAAAGTCACTGATCCCTCAAGTTAAGTTGAAAATGGCATCAAAAATTGCAAATTTTGAAATTAAATATCCCGGTCAGTTTTTGTCGTATGGTAATCAAATTTCGTATATTTTTATGTTTTCCTAATGAGTATAAAACTTTCCCAAATATAAGTTTAGGAACGGGGAGACAGCATGAAAAGTTAGTCTCCTCCCTGTCTTTATTTTTGCAATCGTTAGTCGTTGTCATACACTTCCAGTTACAGCAGTGTTTTAAACGACAAAAATATTCATGTTTCGGCAATGTAAAATTTAAAAAAAAGAAAAGAAAAGAAAGAAATTTTTGACAATTAACGAAATCTAATTTTTAATGCTGTTTCCCGGTTCCTAAACTTATATTTGGTAAAGTTTTATACTCGTTAGGAAAACATAAAATATAAGAAATTTGATTACCGTACGACAAAAATTGACCGGGATATTTAATTTCAAGATTTGCAATTTTTGATGCCATTTCCAACTTGCCTTGAGGGATCGGTTAATGAAGTTAGAGTAATTCGAGGAAATAAATTTGAGGAATAAAGCGCAGCAAAAAATGTGTATGATTTAATAAAATGTACAATGAAGTTCATGTGGTGCCAGCATCAGACTTTTTTTACAGTATTAAAGAAAGTAATCAACCAAACATGAGGTAACACCAGCGACTAGCACTGAAAACTGTGTGCACGTGAGGTCATGTGTAACAGTTGCATGATGGGCAGTTACAAAATTTTTTATTTAGCCTAAATAACTTATTTCTTTTTATTAAAAATTAATTTTTATAGATGCATGATTCTGACGTATGCGCATTTGAAGTTGCGCGATAAATTCTGTGCAGTAGCATATATTTCTCAAACTCGCCATAAAATTTAATAGCAAAGATTTGTAAAAAATAACAGATCTGTGAAAAATCGTCTGATCTGACGATGCTGGTCGATATAGCTTTGGAATTTGGGTCATGGATCTGTTAAATGCGAATAAAATATAATCCAGAATAACTTTTAATACACACTGTAGTTATAATGATTTCATGAAAATTTTCAAATCATGATTTGCATCCAGGACAAAATATATATTCATATATAACAGTTATCAACAGTTCAAAACATCAATTTGTATTGTACTCTAGATTTCATATGAACGTAAACAGAAGTACTAAAATTTATGTAAATTTTGTGCTATATTATTCTTTCAGGTGCAGTTCTTCCTAGTGTTCGCATCGATGGTTCAGTTGACATTCTTCCCCACCTGCGAAGTTTCAAAGCCCCTCCTTCTCCTCAATGTCGTCCAGGCGATTATTTTCTTCGCCCTATTCCTGAACTTCTTCCGTGGTTCGTACCAACGCCGGAACCGGCGGGACCAGAAAAGTGCATTACGAGCCGAAACCGCCGTCACAACCCAGAAGGCTGAAGATATTAAGGATTGTTTGCGGTTACGTAAACCTTCCGTCCAGAAAATGAGATATGTGGATGTAGATTACGTCACAGAGGCTGTCACTATTTCGGCCTGAGCACCTTGTTTTTCCCCTTGTCATTGTTTCATTCAAATGGTAACTAGCCATAGTGGTCACTAGAATAGATCCGGTTCATTTTTGAACGATATTTACAACGATCTCGTCGACGTCACATTGCAAGGATCGTTTCGTTCCGATGGCATCATCGTATTGCCTGTAAAAAGATCGTTTTGCTACATGGACACCATCTTGTATAAGAAATGTATTGTTACAAGAACACATATCTAATCTTCTACATCGCCAAGCTTTCATTAATAAAAAGAACAATATCTCTTATGGCATGTGTCAGGATATTCTTGCCACGAAGACTTATCCAAGATGCAAAGTCTGGGCGCAGATCTTGTCAGCTATATTTCGCCTCTCTAAGACCCTCAATCTCGTTTGATTTTTAATGCATGAATCAAACCATGGTCATATGTAGTTACAATATTGCTAAAAAAAGTGTTTAGACTACGGAAATAAGGTCTGAGATGAATCTCGAAATCCTTGAAAAATTCGAAATTGTTTATTTGACATACAAAAATTGCCCAGTTACTATGCTGTTTAGAAAAAAGAGAAACTTTATATTCATAACACAATATAAAAGCATCTAGTTGATAGTTTTGTTGTTTATTTGCGATTTTGGTATCGCAGTATAATGGCCGTAAAATGAATTTTATTTTGATCTAAAATTTCTAAATGAAATGTTTACTTTCATTGTTCCTTTCAAAAAGCCTTTGTTTTGGCTTACAAAATTTTTCATCTGAGGCAATTATACTGTACTGTAACATTTTGAACTTTGTCTACAAAAGTTATAACTAATTTTTTCTAATATTCTCAGTTTAATTTTTCGTTTGGTAAGAATTCATATAATTTATGATGAAGATGTGTATTTTCACGTAACTCTTAACACGTCTTAGTAAATAGAATCCAAAAGCGAGAAACATTCTTCAAAATAAAATATAAATTCTTTCAGATTTTTCGAAGCGTGCGTAAATTTATAAATTTCCGCAAGATCATTTATTTCGAAATTGAGAAGATTCCTTGGCGAATAGTATAAAAAGCAATTTTTGCATTAACCGGTGCTAATACCTTCTGCCATAATATAGTTTTAAATTTGGACGTTCATTATAAAGAAAAACCATACTGCAGAAAGGTTAACTATGCCTTAATAATTTGGAATTTTAATACTCTAGTGTATATCAATTCTAGATTCAAATGAATTTTAAAAGAGCAATAAAACCGAATATTATTAAGTGCATACAATAAAATATAATAAAATATAATTCACAATAATTAAACATGGTTCGATTTCCGTATCATATTCCTGTATCTTGGCATTAGAGCATTTCATTTGTGAAACAGTTTACTGATTTATTTCGGATATAGAAGACTCATTTTAGTCATTAATTTAAAACTGCAGTCATTTTAAAGCGCAATAACTGCAATTAAACTTGGAACAAAATATGAAAATATATTTAAAAATTTAACCTCGGATGTACCACAACTGGAAAATGAAATTTTCGCATTATATTTTTGATACAGATATATTGTACTATTTGCACTATAATTAGTTTTTAGTATTGGCGTATTAAAAATTTATATCAATTAAAAAAAGACAGGAAAATTCTTTAAAGTTTGTTTATGATGAAGTAGAAGTTAAAAATTTATTATAGTTTTAGGGTAACTTAGATGCATAAACGCGAATCAGTTCGATTCACTATATACATATATATACTGAGTATATAATGCCTCGTAACATCTGATATTGACCACTTCAGAAATTACAGCACGTAACGTTAAATTCCATATTAAATTCTCTGATTAAGAAAAAGAACTGTATGTATATTTCGTCAATGTCAGCAATTTTTGTCTTGGATAAATACAGTGCAATACTTAACCACTAGACATTGTGATGCAGCTTCAAAAAAAAAAAAAAAAAAAAAAAACAGTAAAATGAACAACTGAAAAAGAATTCAAAAATTTGTGATGTCGGCGATAAGAAAGCGACCAAGTTAGAGCACTTTAAATACAGCTTTATAAGAAAGAAAATACGACAGAAAAGCTTTATAAATGTATTCATGAAAATTTTTGCCACAAAGCCTTAGAAGAAGTATTAGTTAAAACGTAGTTATCTCATCCAACGAATCTAGTTCTCAAGACTCACACCCTTGCTTTTACTTCGCAGAACTCCACGCGACTATACAGACGGATAAAAAGTTGTTGAAAAAAAAAAAAAAAAGCAAGAACGAAAAAATGATCATATAGAGCAGCCTCACTGTTGAACTATCAGCTTTTTTTAAGTTTTAAAAATTTATCTCCGAAAAGTTTGATAATTCTGTTGACGAACATTGTTATCTTTTTCATATGTATTTATGTTTGTTTATAATTTCAGAGAAATAAATTGCCTATTTTTCTGCATTTATTTAATATTTTTAAAATCTATTTGGCTAATTTAAAAAATAAAAAAAATTCATTGCCATTTTTTCTGGTATTTTTTATTTTGCTAATTCTCTACTTACAATATTTAAGTGAAGTGGTTTTTACACACACACAAAACGCAAACAAAAATAGAATGAATTTTTAAAAAAAAAAAAAAGGAAAAGGGAGAAAACACAAATGTTTTGTACAAAATATACAAACTATCCATTTTTCAAAACAACAAAATTTTTCAAACAGATGCTAGTTAAGTTTATTCACATTATTTCAATTCGGAAACAATGTATAAATAAAATTAGATTTTTTTTGTTATCTCTTCTACATATAATAAAAGAAAGAGTCTGTCTGTCAGTGGGTGTGTCTTTTGTTTGCGCTGCGCGTAAGCTAATAGACCCACGACTACGAAATTTGGTACATAGGTGCATCTAGACAAGAGCCAGTGCATCTCGAAGCGATTTTTCCGAAATTCGAATTCGAATTTTTTTTATTTTATGTTTTGTGACGAAATCGCGTCATTATGAGACATAATGGGCTATAGAAAAGCGAGATTTTACTCTACACACTCTATTTTCACGTCGTCATGAAACGTAGGCACTTAGCTATTTTACGAACTTAAAATAAATTCCGTGTTTCAATAAATCGATTAAATACGAATGTATTTAACAAAGGCAGCTTAACACCTTTTCAACGAGAATTTTTCTAAAAAGGTTTATATTTAAAAATGTACAGTTTATTTTTCTTTGATTTTTGGACATGTTAAACTTTCATCCTTGCGACTGCTTTTACAAAAAGAATTTTGGAAAAATGATAATATTTTGTATTTTTTTTTTTAATTTAAATGAAGCTTCCGAGTACATTTCTCACATCTCACATCTTTAAATGGGGAGTGATCATAAACACCTCCTTTTGTATTGTAATTCACGATAGCTTTCAAAAGGAAACGTTTTAAAACGTTTGTTTGAGTAAAAGACGAAGCCTTAATATTTCTGAATGAACACCCACCATCTAAAAAAGATGCTATTTTTCCATTTAAGGATAGATTCCACGAGTGGTTAATAATAAAAGTAGCTTATTTGTGCGACATATTTGCTACATTCAATGAATTGATTTGCAAGGCTTTGGTTTAAATATTTTCAAAGTATCGGAAAAAGTCGCTGCAATAATTAAAAAAATAACTCTGTGGAAACAATGACTTTCAAAAGGAAATTTTAAATCTTTTGAAACATTACATAAATTAATTGAAACCCATTCAAACTACGATGAAGAAGATTTACATCTTGAAACACAATCAGTTTCAATTCAAGAACATCTTTCGGAGCTAATAAATAGTTTTAAAGATTACTTTCCGGATATTCCTTCAAATAATATGTGGATTAAAAATCCTTTTTCTGTCGACACTGAAATAAAAGAAATGCTTAATCTTAGTGAACAAGAAGTTGATAATTTAATTGAAATTTCATGCCACACCGATCTTAAAAAAAGTGTTTGAAACTGTACCACTAATTTTTGGTTGCGCTGTCAAAAGGAATATCCAAGCGTAAGACCATGCGATTTTTAATGTCTTTTGTCACCACTTATACGTTTGAAACTGCGTTCTCAGCCTTGGTGTACTTAAAAAGTATGTATCGAAACAGATTGAATGTCGAACCGAATTTGAGAATAAAATTAACATCATTAAGTCCTAAGTTGAAATTACTATGTGATGAAAAACAACATCATCCTTCGCACTAAGGTCAAAATATGTAAAACAAAATTTACTTTATTTATTTTAAGTTTTAATTGAAGACAATGGATTGTCTTTAATTACTTATGTTTTTGTTATATAATTATTTTGTAATTTTTGTGTTTGAAATAAACAAACAAATAACTTGAATTTTGAATTTATTACAAAAATAAAATTTGTTTTGTAAATATATGTTTTTTTTTTTAATAAGGTGGGTCGCGAAAAAATTTAAAATCTCGTACCGCCCGCGGTCAAAAAAGTTTGGGAAACGCTGGTTTAGAATATAAGATTTTTAACATAATGTAATTGCTCACAATGTAAACAATTTTAACATTTCAGATTGAAAAACCCATTTTAATATCCCCCCCCCAAAAAATCTGAAGGTTTCAGATTTTTAATTACGTCCAAAGGGGCGTTGTTTTTTAACGTTTTGTGTGTTAACCTTTATTTATTAAATATCATGTTCTTTGCACTTAATTGCATAAAATTCAGTTCAATAGCAATGTCGCAAAATAATTTTTAAATGAGCATATCTTTATAATTTCCGATACACAGTTCCCCAGTTCCCGCGCCAGAGATAAAAAGTGTTTTTTTTTTTTTTTTTTTTTTTTTTTTTTTTTTTTTTATCGTTGAGTTTGTTACTCAAAAATTCGTTAAAGTTTTACAAAATATGAAATCGATAATAAAACAAATTCCAAATATGGTCTTCCACATGCCCATTTCGTAGGATGATTACGTCATTCAAAATTCGATGGCTCTATGTACCGTTGTTTTAGCACAATGCGAGAAATGTACATAAATTTATGCAGATTTTTCATTACTTAATTTCTTCAAATATAATGCAGGACTCTAACATTTGGTCTCACACAGTTTGAAAAGTGATTCGCCGTTTATATAGTGATTCAACGCAAAATCGCAAAACGAAAATATTATTCCTTCAGGGACAAAGCCCCTTTGGACTAGTAAACATTTAAAAAGAATTTTTACAGCTCGAGCTCGCATTTATTTTAATCATACAAAAAATTCCAAAAAATCGCAATATCATACACTGACATTCATTAGATATCATGAAGATAATAATTTGTAAGAAATTTTACTTTTATTTACAATCGATTAAACTGTTTCTATACATTAGTTAATTAACAACCGGTTTTCTGCAGTTATTTTTCGAAAAGTAAACGTTCTGAACATTATACAGCTAGCTAATGACTTTGGAAGTGAGCCAAATGCATGGAATTCTCCGAGAACGAGGAATTCATGTCGGAATGCTTCTCGCCGAAGATTAAGTCACATACTCTGAGGACATTCCAAATTTCGCTTATTAAGTTACTGTTCTGAAAGCTCACCAAAATAGCATGCATTGGAAATTAACTGAAGAAATTAAGCTATGAATTATTTCTGAGGTGGAGAATAGAAGGCCTGTTTACCCACTTTAAAAATTTATTTGAAGCAATCAGGAGTTATATAATTTAGGTATGTTTAATAAATGATAATAAAAAATATAATGAACTATATGTAGATAGGCTCACCTAATGGAGTCTACAAATAAGACGGCTGACATAAAATTGATTTTCTAATTGAAAACTGACAGAAAATGGTCTATAACAGGGTTTCTTAAACTTTTTTCAATCGCGACCCTTTTTTTATCACTGAGACATTTTCGCGACCCCCAGAACCCCAAAACATTTACGAAAATTTTGTGGGACCCCATAAGCATTGCGCAAATCCGACACACGCGTGTGTGAAACTGTTAATTTTTTTACCTTTACTGTAATATACTATACTATTGCAGTTTTAAGTCATTAATTTCTAATTTTAAGACATAGAACAATGTAAAAATTTTAAATAAGTACCAGACGAAATGATAGTGTCACGTGCAAAGCAAATATATAATAAAAATATATATCTTTTTATAACAGAAATGAACGTTTCTATTATAAAAAGAATGAATGCGTCGAAACGTTTTCCTTTTTTCTTTGTCTGTATTGTCTTACCTTTATACATTGAGTAAAAATATTTGGCAATCGTAAAATTATTATAATAAGTTTATCTTTGAATTTTGAAATTTTGTTGGAAATTCCTAGATTTTGAATAAATCTCTCGTGAAAATAAATTGCGAAAATTAGTATTTTGAATACCATAAAAGTTATCACATGTTTACTTTCCGCTTTCTGCAAAGTCTTCAAAGCTCTGCTTTAAAAATAAAAATCCTCAAAAAAAAAAAAAAAAAAAAAAAAAAACTCTGAAATGTTTCAGATTTTAAATTACGTCCAAAGGGGCGTTTTTTAACATTTTGTGTGTTACTTTCTTTATTAAATATCATGTTCCTCGCACTTAAACCATAAGATCCAGTGCAACAGCAATATCGCAAAATAGTTTTAAAACGAGCATATCTTTAGAATTTCCGATACAGAGACTCACGCGCTGGAGATAAAAAATGTTTTTTCTGCACAACGTTGCCATTGCTCGCTTTGAAATCCTTGAGTTTGTTAATCAAAAATTCGTCAAAGTTTTAAAAAATAGGAAATCGATCATAAAACAAATTTCAAATTTCAAATTTGGTCTTTCCACATGCTCATATTCGTTGGAGGATTACGTTATTCAAAATTCGATGACTCTATGTACCGTTATTTTATGACAATGTGAAAAATATACATACATTTACGCAGATTTTTCATTATTTAATTTCTTCAAATATAATGCAGGACTCTAACATTTTATGGCAACAGTTTGAAAAGTGAACCGACATTTATCCGTCCGACGCAAAATGCCAAAACGAAACTAATAGTCCTTCGGGATTCAAATCCCTTTGGACTAATAATTAAATAAAGGTAACAAACATTAAAAAAATTGCAACATCAAGATGTTCCAGAAATTGCTCCATTAGCGTAATATTTGCTATACATTTTGCTGGCTGCAATATTCCAACAGAAGTTAGTTGCAAAGCTTCTGTGTGTTAGGAAAAAATACGCAATTTAAAATCAATGCATGTGCTTATCTGTTCAGTTCACAACTTATCTGTTTAACAGTTGGTTCGTGACCAACATTTGCAATCTTATTTTACTGATTACTACTTCCAT